CGGGAGCCCGCGGGCCCGCGTTCCGTCGGGGTGGAGAAGGTGCTAGAAGCGGCGGGGCCGAGGTGGCGGGAGCGGGCTCCGGCCCGGCCCGGCCCTGCTCCTCGCCCCCCTGCTGGGAGCGTGTTGCCTAAAGCAGACGGTGGGTGTGATGTTCAACGTGAGCATTAGATCCTTATTTTTTAAATTTCAGGATGATTATAAATATCACAAAAGTCACTTCTCTGCTGATCGCATCTCTGCAGATTGAACCCGTTCCCGAACCAGTTCAATGAAGCTGGTTATAAAATATCGGGCTTTTTATCTTTTATTCATGACCTGACAGTTTCTCCATGCGATGTCTTTGGACTAGAACATCTGTGAGCAAGGAAACAAAACCAACCCACTTGAAATACTAGAAATCACGTAGAGGCCAAGCAGGCTTTCGGATTTCACTGGCCAGCAGCCAGGCGGGAGCCTTGTGGATAACCGAGAGACGCTCCACAGTTGTCTTTCAAACAGCGCGAGTACCGAACAAAACAGTCAGCTGAACGTCTGCCGTCTGGTTGGTTTTGATGACTTTTTCTCTCTGGTTTTCCACCCTGTTTCAGAATGATTTGGACCCCAGTGCAGCAAAATTTCTAAGTACCTGCCTAATTTCAAGCACGTTTAAATTATCGTTAGATCTACTGCACTGTAAGTTAGTGGGGAAGCATTCACATCAGGTGGTTGCACACATGGTTTTGAATTGAGACCTATTTATCAACCAAGCTTACAGTTTAATCTTTGAAATACGGCCATTAAAGGTTCAAGATACGGTGTCACATTGGTTCTACCTGTAACAAGACTTATGAAGAAAAGACAGGATAGCAAGGAGGGTTTTGTATTTTATGCGCAAAGCTGGGACATTTCCAGACAGGATAAAGCCTGGAGCACCCTGGGCTGATCTCATAGCTGATCGTGCTTTGAGGAGGAGGTTGGCCTAGAGACATCCTGAGAGCCCTTCCAACCTGAAGTATCCCGTGATTCAGTCTCTCACAGTAAAGGGAAGAGCAGTACACACTGTTCAAAGATTTTCGGGAAGGAGTGGGGGAAGGTTCACAGTAAATGGCAGTATCATTTATTTCTATTTTTTCCCTTACATTTTAGCTGAGAACAGTCATTGATACTTACAAGCAAGCTAAAAATGGCCCAAAATATTTATTCTATGTATGGTACCTTTGACTGTCTTTCCTTTTGTGATCAACCCTCCATGTATTGTAAGATGCAAGTATAGCAAAGCAACTTGAACGAGTGAGTATGATGCTGATGGTCCCTGATACGTATGTCGGAGAGACTGCATGCAGCTCCTCTGAGAGGACAGCAAAGCACACATCTTGCAGCCTACAAAAGAGAAGGTTAAAAATGGCAAGAAAAATCCCATTTCTGAATTGCTCAGTGGCAAATGGTGGTTATAACTTCAGCCTGCCTCGGAGCGATGGCAGTGCTCAGATCCCTAGGTTACAGTCGGCCCTGGGATGGGTCCTGTGCCTAGGCTGTCAGGAGAGACTGCAAACAGCTGTGCAAGCCTTGTTTCGGTCTCTGTGTGCCACGAGCAGCACACAGGGACCACAGCAGGAGTGGTCATTTCTAAGGGAGAATCTGCCAAATCTATCAATACACTGATTTTAAATAAACAGTAAGTATAACAAGACTTATAACAAAACTGCTAAAAATCTGCTACAGTTGCATAAAGATGCCTGCCTCTGGAAAGTCATGTAAAAAGTGAGTGCTGTGTCATGTCCAGTCCCCATCTACCTCCTTGCAAAGAGAAAATCTCTGGACTGTCTTACTTCAGTGCAGGCAGATGTACCTAGCACATTTAACCCAATACATTCCCATTACTGCAATAAAATCGGTCACTGAAAAAAGTGACTGGAAATACCTGTGAACTTTCTGCACTGTCCAAATGTAATAATAGTACTTGTGGTCTTCAACACTGTCTGCCAATAAACCTTTCGCTCAGATGTCTAATCTAGAAAGCGCGTACAGAAGAATCTTTGCTACGTGGATAATCTTTTGGCAGGTTTCTTAAATATAGGACTCGGTGGTAGTATTTACTTTCTCCCCATGTTTCAGTTGAAGGTTTACGTAAGGAAGAACTAGACCTACAATTAAGGGCTGTTCCTGAGTTTAGATCTCCTAACAAAAGTAGCTATGACAAGCAGGATGGTGTAGGAGATCAAGCTGGCCTTAGACAATGCAGAGCTCCTGAAATGGAAGCTGAGGTTGCAAACTATTCTCCTGCCAAAATCTAAGCCCTGAGGCAGTCCAAGTCCCCATCTTCAGCTGCACTATCCGCACCTGCCTAGCAAACATCTCAGACCTGTGCCTTTCTTCATTTTCTTATCATGTGACTCACTTCCCAAAAGAAGGACTCCAAACCCGTTCCTGGAAATCTCCTTAATTCCCTACTCCCTACCTCCCAAACAAGCCACCGGTGTCCATAGCTGGCTGGTGGTGCCCAGGGCAGCGAGATGCGGGTACAGGGTCGTGCAGGTGCTGGAGCCACAGGAACCCGTTGCTGCATGTCACCATTCTCCTGGTGCCCGTTTGCACTTACCCTACAGTGAGCTGAAGGTCTATCAGATTACTGTAAGTACATCTGCTGGGCCGGGGGTAAATCCTGCCTGAGGGCAGGTGTGACAGCTCAGCTACACCATAGCAGTGTGCTTGAGAGAGGTTGACTTAAACAGAAATGCAGCATCCTTGAAAAGTTGCTGGGTTTTACCTAAGAACAGTTCTGATATAAGTCATAGCGTAACTAAGGTGATATCCATCCATCTATTATAGGGACATTTAGGATGCCTTCATAATCAGCAGTGAGAAGAAGAATTTTGAGAACGTGAGTCAGTGGACCAGAGAAGTTAGCTTTGGGCTGAGACAAGCTGTGCTCTAGAAACACCAGCTTCTCTCCCTTGACTATACAGGGAGCCTGTGGGACCCAGTTCAGGTGTAGAGGTCTACAGTGGTGACACCAGCTTTCAGATGGATGAATCCAGTCTTAACTGCCTGATGATAAGAGAAGGATACATATATTTACCTTGCAGCTCACCATAATTAATGTTATGATACTGAATGATTGAGTATGCATTACGGCATACAGCAAGGACAGGCTAAAAGCCTGGTAGATATGTGGCTGTGAAACAAGACCGTTTCCTATCATCTGGCAACTAGTGTGTAGTTGCTAAGTGGAAAGCTGATAAAATACCGTCTTTATTTTCCACCGCTAACATTTTCCATGTTAATGTATTGGCACGTCTATGTCTGCATCATTGTAAAGGACAGATGTAAGGGAATTGCCCCCAACTGTGTTTGCATGTAGGTTGCACCAAGTGGAGAGAGAGAGATTATATTCTACTACTGCTCTACCACTATCACTGCTATCCAGCTATACCACCAAATGTATATAGCTTTTCCAAAATGAAAAATTGCTATTAGCTGAAGAAAGCCTTTCTCCCACATGAGATGCTGGAGAAAATCTTGTGTGTTGTGGGTTAACCAAAGTAGGCGGCTAAGCTCCACACAGCTGCTCGCTCACTCCTCCCCAGCAGGAGCGGGGAGAGAATGGGAAGGGCAAGAGTGAGAAAACCTGTGGGTTGAGATAAAGACAGTTTAATAAGCAAGGGGGGGATGCCCAGCCGGGCCCCGAGCCACAGCCCCCTGGAAAACTGCCTCCCCCCCCGCTTGTATTGCTGAGCATGACGCTATATGGTGTGGGATATCCCCTGGGTCAGCTGGGGTCAGCTGTCCTGGCTGTGTCCCTCCCAGCTTCTTGTGCACCCCCAGCCTACTGGCTGCAGGGACTGCCTGAGAAACAGAGAAGGCCTTGATGCTGTGCAAGCACTGCTCAGCAATAGCTAAACATTGATGTGTTATCAGCACTGCTTTGGTCACAGATCCAAATGCCAGCTGCTATGGAGAAAATTAACTCCATCCTGGCCAGAACCATTGTGTCACCAAACATAAAAGATGACAAACATATCTGAGGCCACTGCAGGGACGGTGGGTGTCAGGGATCGGTGTAAGGCAGTAACATCCCCCTTCTCTTCTGGTAAATTGTCTGGAGCACAGCAATAATTCCCGCGTGTGA